GGGCAGCAGACTGCTGCCCAGACTGACCTGGATGAGAAATGCAGGTCCTTCAGACGTGTCCACTTACTTCGCTGCCTTAATACTGTCTCCACGGACCTGCGGAGTCTCGCTGGAATCCAAGTATCAGAATCAAGGTTCTCACCACAGACCCAGCGACCGCCTCGCCCCTCCCAGCTTCCGCTTCGGTGGGTTTTGCTTGCGCCTTGACCAGCGTGTGTGTGTTCGGCTCCCTGCGCCGCCTCCCGCTAGCCGCGCCCGGAGCCCCTCGGCGGGCAGCACTCGGCGGCGGCCCTGCCCGATGCTGCTGTGGTTGGAGTGACCGGCACGTCCTGCCCCACGTGATGTTCTGCCGACCCTGGAACTCAGCCACGGAGGCCACGCGGGTCTGGCCGACAGGGGCGCCGCAGGAGCCAGAACTCAGCGTCGGGATGAGAGCACTGAGCACAGGGAGGCGCAGCTGCAGCCGGGCTCCCTTCACCTTGCAGACGATGGCTGTGGGCGGTACAGGAAGCAGTGAAACCTGAACGAGACTCGCAGGCGGCATTTATGACTGACAGAAAAGCAGGCGAGCTCTACTGCTCGTGAGCCGGCCCCTCAGCAGTCTGCCCACGGCCGACTTCATGGCCTGGTTCCTCAGACTGTATATGACGGGGTTGAAGGTGGGCGGCACCATCGTGTAGAACATAGAAATGACCAGGTCAGACGCGGACGGGGTCTCCGAGGTCGGCTTCAGGTAAGCGAAGAATGAAGTGAGGAGAAACAGCACCACGACCAGCAGGTGGGGGAGGCAGGTGGAGTAGGCCTTGGCCTGGCCCTCCGTGGACGGGATCTTCCTGACCGCAGAGAAGATGTGGACGTAGGAAAAGACGATGCACATGAAGTAGCAGATGCTCAGCACCACACTAATGACAATGGGGACAAGCTCGTTCATTAGATTTCCTGAGCAGGAAATAACCAGTAACTGGGGGACGTCACAGAAGAACTGGCGGACCACGTTGGACCCGCAGTAGGACAAGGAGAAGGTGCCAGCCGTGTGCATCACAGCATAGAGACCCCCGCCCAGCC